TTCTCGACAACTTAAAGGCACAACCCAGGCAGAGTTCGTGTGAACGCTTCTCTTCGGTCTCTAGTATAGACCCCTAGAGGACAATCACAGATGTGGCGTCCTCGTGCACGGAAACCGACCGATAAGAGCGCTTGGCCTTGCAAAGTAAGCTGCCCAAGCTGCAGACTTTTTTTTTCTTATCAGGCTGTTGTCTGGCGCTCTCTCATCTGTAGTGCTCTCTCGCCTCATACTCTCCTCTCCGCGCTTAGTCTCTCATTCCCTTAGCACAGCCGATTAGGAAGGTGAGTGAGCCCTTAACCTAAGCGTTTTCGACGGATTCTTTTCCTTTTTTCTTTACTGCCGGCCCACTTCCCACCATACATTCACATTCGTGTACAAGCCACCACAATGTGATCCTGGGGTATACCCATTTAATTGCAAAAAGTGCGTCCACGGAAAAAAGGTCCTATGTTTCTACCTATGCCGCCCACATACCACATATGGGCACACTCGTATGATCAACTCATGTTGGTGTCTGTGTCTCTCTGATCTCCATACTTTTCTGTGCCCTCGTCATCAGCGTCTCTCGCTCGAACACACACTCTCTTCTGCCTTAGGCCACACAACGTCACGGCTATGAAAAATGTCTCGTTCAGGTTTTTTCACTAGGTCATTGGATTCTCTTTTCATTTTTCAATTACTCAGCACCTGAAGCCTCATCCCGATTAGCCACATCCTGCTGCTGTGAACTGTGCCTTTAAGTACCTGTTTGTATACTACAGCAATGCTATAAGTAAAGTCAGATATTGCCAAAAATTACTTTCAGGCAAATGGCATGCGAATGCTGATCTACAACGGCGATACAGATCAAGTATGTAATCATCTCGGTGACCAATGGCTCATCGAAGAAGTAGCCGCTAATCTTTCACTGACGGTGAGCTTGGCTTTCTCCTAATCACGTTAGTATTATAGTCTGATTAGATCAAGAGAGTTAAGAGATCTGGGCTAAGCTGCAGAGGTCGTCCGAAAATTTTACGACCCCCTCCTTCTAGAGGGCCTCGATACGACCCCCCCCCTCAGGGTTAACCCTTCACGACCATCCTCCACCACCCTCGCCTGCCATCGCCATCATGGGGCTCATTCTATAGTATTCGATTCTGAGACCAGTCGACACAGCCCAAACTCCGCCCACTTTTTTCCTCCAAAATTGCCGTCGAGCGGGGGGTATATACCTACCACGAAACCGCAAACATCCTCTCACTTTCCCTCTATTTCACCCATATTTCCACTGCAACATGTTCTAAGGGGGGGGGGGCTGTGTACATCTACTATCGGTTGTACGATTCTCTGAGGTGAGCCATAAACTCGAAAAGCGCAATGGTAGTACCCCGGGCTTACAGGCACGAGGTACTGGGATCAAATCCCTAGCGTGTTTGCTTGTGTGATTTTCCAAGAGCGCTCATGAATAGCCTTTGTCCCAAGGGTGCGCACGGAAATGTGCACCTCAATTCAATTGGTCGGGTCTAATGACCTTTGCTGGTGAGATTTCCTCGTCCCAGTCTTTTCTGGGAGTTCTTCTCCGCTTCACTCATCCCTAATTGTGAATATTGATTATTTTATTCTGTACGGTTTTCCGTGCGGGACCACCTTGTGATCGTGATCTTCAATGTTAAATGAAGGATTTCAGACGGCTTCCAAACGAGAGCCATGGTTCTACCAACTCAACTCCCGTTATGAACGTCAACTGGCAGGTTATGAGAAGGTTAGCCAACGGTTTTTTCATTTAACCGTAATGCTCAAGATTGAATTCATCTCGAATGCCTGGTTTCTAAATGGCTCCAGTGACGCGCGCGGTCGCGCAGCGGCTTGCTTAACAAATCGATATTTCTACCATGACCGTTTGCGACGAGAAAATAGCTTCATCTCATTGGAGCGCACCTTGTTCAATACAATGTTTCGTTTTCAGATCTTCAGCAGAAACCTGCTCCTGGTAACCGTTAAGGGATCCGGTCACCTGGTCCCAATGGATCGTCCGGGTCCGTCTCTTCAGATGATCTACAATTTTGTCAAGGTCGGTTGGTCGGTTGGACAGACTCTATTTTTTTATTCTGAAGGCAAGAAAAACAAGGCAAGAAGACTTGGTTTCAGAACAGACCACTCAGCATGAATCTACCGAACGCAATTACTGACCCAACGCCACTGAAACCCGAGTACGCTGGCCTGGGCTCGTGCTCCGAAACGGCTTATCCTCCTCCATCTCCACACTGCCCACCATCAAATGCCGACCATCCCCGGTATGCGGACAGAAGTATGAAGACAGGCGTTAGTTGACGTGTGATAGTTTCGTTGTTTTCACCTTTTTGCGCATCAATATAGAGAGTGAGACCAGTCCAGGACTGACGCGTGCGGTCGCGCAGCGGCTGCTTACCTTTTATTCTTAATCAATGTAGATTGTACTATAGCAGAAGCGAATCCAACGAGTGATCTCTCGAAGCAACCATAAGCGAGCGTTCTATACGTGTAAGCTATCGTATCCGTGTGAATACTGCTTTCACCCAAAGGCGACGCTGTGTAGCCAGCACGCGCCAGTATCCGCAAATTCGCATTGGTTCGATGAGCTGTTAGGCGGAAGTTCGCGTACATGGCTCGCTACATTGCAAAAAAGCATATTTCAATTATTATGTAATTATTGGAATTTTCACAGGCGGAGCTTTGGCTGAACACGGATCCGTCGAATCTCACTGATAAGGCTGTGGCTGATATGATCACCAACCTACCTGGTCTCACATTTAATGTGACATTTCGTCAATTTTCCGGATATCTGACTGCTCCTCTTTACCCGAATAATCATTTATTCTACTGGTGAGTTGTAGTGATGATTGGAAACCTGTATAGACTGCTTCTGCTTGTGTTTTCACTCTTTTTCTATTTTACAAAGGATTTATTGGTATTATTTTTTATTATTGCTTGCAAGATTAGGGGCGTGGAACAGGGTCTTGTTCATTGGAAGAGATGGTTTTGATCGGACATCATCTCAATGGGAGTGGTCTGTAAGATGGGCGGGGTTTGCTAGGTGGGATTAGGTGAAGTCTGCTTTGCGACTTGCGGCAAAAAGTTCAGTGGAATTTGCACCCTGGATGGATACATTTTGCGTATGAGTTGAATCAATCTGAGAAAAATGATCATTTATGCTACCCGTAAAGGAGACAATGATGCTTGGCACGTTGCGGGTATAGGTTGGGACCTCTGAAAGCGCTTCTCATTGGCCCATTCAATGAGAAAGGGACCCAACAATAATAAGTTGTTTAAGAGACTTAACCCGCAAGTCTAGATAGGGGACCTGATAAGAATAGTTTGCCAATTATAGGCCATAAGCTACTTATGGGTTTAGATACCCTGGAATCCCCTCCCCATGTGCCGAGGACTCCCTCCAGCCCCTCTTATTCCCTACGTTCACTGAATTCTCCCTTGGTAAAATCCAGATCGACCGCTTGCAAAGTGATGTTTTCCCCTTCCCGGTACACCATGCTCTTATGCTGTCCCCTTTCCCTTCCTCACCCCCCCCCCCCTTGTTGACAGCGTTTCCTGTATTATACTTCCACCAGCCCCTCTGTTTGTGTCCGCTTGCCATCCCTCTGAACTCTTTCTCGCTCACCCTCCGTCTTGAGTCCATCTGCTATACCTCTGGACTCTTTCTCCCTCCCTCTCCATCCCTGCGCTCCTAAATTTTTTTACTGGGACCTTGTAAAAATTTAACAGGTTGATATTGACAATGTCAGGGTAATTGATTGTTTAGGTTCATGGAATCGCAAAATGACCCCGTCAACGACCCCGTCGTGTTGTGGTTGAACGGTGGACCCGGGTGTAGCTCGTTGGGTGAGTTCAAGCCTAAGCTGTTCCTTATTGATTTTTGCGAAGTTGGGAGGAAGGCGTTATTGATTTCCTGTCTTATAGGAGGTCTCCTCGAAGAACTCGGGCCTTTCCATAACAACAATGATAACGGCACTACGCTATTTGAGAACGTCTACTCTTGGAATAAAGTTAGTTTCTGTGGCATTTATTGATTTATTGGTCGGGCTTATATGCCATGGAACAAGTACCTGAGTTTTGCAGATGGCAAACGTGCTATTCCTCGAAGCACCTGTTGGTGTAGGATTCTCGTACACCGATCATCCTGCATCGTACTACCTGTCCGACGATACCGTAAGATAATCGATTTATCGATTCAACGAGTTCGCAAAGTCTGACACTGACCTCTTT